ATGTTACTTGTTTTTTCTCTCTTACAGCCTTCAATATTCTTTCCCTAGTTTCTGAACTTGTTGTTTTAATGATGATATGTCGTGGGGTAGTTCTATTTTGATCTGGTCTGTTTGGTGTCCTGGAGGCCTCTTGCATCTGTATGGGAATATCTTTCCCTAGATTTGGGAAATTTTCCATTATTATTTTGTTGAATAGATTACACATTCCCTTCGCTTGCACCTCTTCTTCTTCGATGCCCATGATTCTCAAGTTTGGCCTTTTGATGGAGTTGGTGAGTTTTTCATTTTCTTTTCACAGTCTTGAGTTGTTTAATTAATAGTTCTTCGGTTTTTCCTTTAATTACCATTTCATCTTCAAGTTCTGAGATTCTGTCTTCTGTTTGTTCTATTCTGTTTTGTTTTGCAGTTCTGTTTTGTTCTTTTTTCTGAGGCTTTCCATATCCTGGGTGATTTCCTCTTAATGTTGTCTATTTTTTTCCTGAGTTCATTTATCTGTTTATTCATCGTGTTCTCTGTTTCACTTTGGTGTTTATACAGTGCTTCTATGGTTTCCTTTATTTCTTCTTTTGCTTTTTCAAATTCTCTATTTCTGTTGTCTTGGAATTTCTTGAGTGTCTCCTGTACATTTTGGTTGACCCTATCCAGTATCATCTCTATAAAGTTCTCATTGAGTACCTGTAGTATGTTTTCTTTTAAATTATTCTTGTGGGCTTCATTGGGTCCTTTGGCATAGTTTATCTTCATTTTGTTGGAGTGTGGATCTGAGTATCTGTTTTCTTCATTCCCCTCTGGTTCCTGTAGTAATTTTTTGCTGTGGGGAAACTGGTTTCCTGTTTTTTCTGTCTTCCCATCATTGTCTTTGGTGTTGTTACTGTCCCTGTACTGTGTGCAATTAAGTATTTTCTAGCTTGTAATAATAAAAATGTTAATATTTAGAATGGAAGTGAGAGGAGATGGAAAGCAAGAAGTTAAAGAAAAGGGAAAAATAAATAAATAGACAAGAAGGAGAAAACAGAACAAGGTTTCAGACAAGAAAGTTTCAAAGGTATAAACAGGGAGTGTTAGTGTACTAATCGACAGTAAGGTGAACAGGCATTAGAGAGGCAGAGAGAGGATTGAAAATAAAAAAAAGATAAGAATAAAAATAAAAAATAAGTAAATGAAAGAAATATATATATATAAAATAAAATGAAAAATAGAAAATTAAAAAAACCAAAAAAACCCAAAAAACCTCCAAGTTCAAATGCAATGAAGTTTCAAGTCTTAATAATTTGGGTGTCCGTCTCAGTCTCCAATCCTGGAGATGGTGCATCAGATGTTGTTCTGTAGTTGTCTCATCAAAGGGGACACATAAAGTAGAACAAAACCACACACACACACGAAAAATACCCCACCATGTGTCCCAAGTTCAAATGCAATACAGTTTCAGTAAGTTTTTCAGCATGCAGGTGTAATTCAGTTGTTCTCTCATCAAAGGTAGGGAGAAAAAAAAAAGAGTCTGGAGACAGTTCTGAGAATGGTATCTGCAGCTGTGGCTTGCCTGCCTGCTGCTGTCAGCCTGCTGTTGCTGGAGGCATTATTTATGCAGATCTCTGGGGTGAGCTTAGCACTCACCTGGCCCTGCAGGCTTTGTTTGCTCAGAGTTCTACTGTGCGGGAGCCTCTGCTACAAACTTTCCCTTTTCCAAGCACACTGGGGAAGGTGACACTGTACCCGCTTTCTCAGGCCTGCATTTTTGTTTACAGTTCATGTGGGAAGTGGGTCTTCCCCCCTCTCCTGTGCAGTTTTCCTCCCACTGCCACTTTCACAAGCTTTCCTGCTCCTGCCTACTGGGCAGTGCTGCTGCTCCTGCCAGCCACCATGTTTGTTTACAGCTCACATGGGAAGTGGGTCTTCCCTCCTCTCCTGTGGAGTTTTCCTCCCTCCGCCACTCTCACAGCTTTCCCGCTCCTGGTTGCTGGTCTCGTGCCCCTGCTCCCACCGAAGCCTCTCCCGCCCTCCCAGCTTGTTTATTTACAGTCCCGGGAAGGATTCCCTTCCCCCAATCTTCGGTGCTCAGTGCACCCCACCCTCTTTCCCATGTGTCTTTATTGTTCTTATTGCTTATTACTCAGTTTCCCTTTTTTCCCCTGGTGGAGGTCAGTCTGTCCAGGGGGCTATGCTGCTCTGGCCCAGGGTTGTCTGTGGGAGTACCGCAGTACCGCAAAGCTCACCTTGTCCGCATCTTCCCAAGCCGTCTGGGCGTGGGAGACCGGCAGCCTGGGGGGCCCTCCTTGTTTCTCCATTTAACATGAAGTGGAGATTCTCTGCGCCGGCTGGAGGTGTGGAGGGGTCAAAGTTTTGCCTCTTCTTAGTGGTTTTGCCTGCAAAGAGTGTCTCTAGCATCTCTCCAAGATTTCACTATAGGAGGCTCGCTTTCTGCTTCCTCCCTCCAGCTGCCATCTTGGAATCCCCCTCCTCCTCTCACTTCTTGCAGGTGCTACCTCCCACCTCAAAAAGACACAGATTCCCACAATTTTTTCATTTTTCCAGTGTCCTGAAAATAAGTAGTAAATTAAATGATATTCATGTTTGCCATACAAAATATTCTGTGGAATATGTATCACATTAGTAATAAAAAGAAAGGACACTGCTTCACTTTGAGTCTTCTAAATGAGAGACAATGTTGCGCTATGTAATATTATGACCCAAGATCTATGTTATTTTTTTCCTTCTACATTTTCATGAAAAAAAAAAAAAACCTATTGAACTACTGACTCAAAATTCTATTTTGTTTCTGTGACTGTCATAAAACCCTACTGAAGGGACACACTGTTAAGGGGTAATATTCATCCCCTGTTGATTGTGCATTGCCATGGCTAAGCCGCATTAATATGGTGATTACCAGGAATTCCCGATTTCCAACATAATGTCTTCTGCTAGCACTGTGAGTTGGGGATATTTGTGAAATCACAGATGAATGCAGAAGACAGCCAAATTAACAAATTCAGCTACCTACCATCTCTGCTAACAGAGAATAATGGCATGAGTCCAGGAATAAACCATGATGATGATGGTGGTGATAGCTAATATTTATTGAATAACTTTTTTTGCCAGGCACAATTCAAGTGTTTTGCATATGCTATCTCATTTACTGCTTTTACTCACCTTATAAAATATGTACTATTATTACTGACACTCCCCACAGAATAAAACAAATTTAGAAGCATGATGTAAATTGCCTGCAATCACACAGCTAGTACGTAGCAGAGCTGGAATTCACACTTACATAGTCCCAAACCCAAATCCACATGCTTAAATTTTAGTTTGACTCAAGGGTTTCTCAAACCCAGCATTATTGGCAAGGCTGGGTAACTCCCAGTCTTCCCTTTAGGGCTGTAAATTTAGCAGTTTAACAGGCTCTCTGGGCTCTGTCCGCTAGATGGCAGTAGTGCCTTCCCTATGCTGCCTGCCTGCCTCCCTCCCAGTTTTGGCAAACTGCCTCCAGACCTTGCCAAAAGTCCTGCAGGAGGCAAAATTGGTCTCTTTCCAGGCTGAAAACCACTATTCTTATCCCACCCCTCTTTATACTCTCGTCAAACTCATGTCACTCAATAACCTTTAGAAATACAGTTTTAATGGTTCTAATACATTTAGCTGAATATTAAATTAGTGCTACATCTAAATACCACTTGTGATTTTTTTTTTAGTTATACTTAAGAACTTAAAGCAATTAAGTTCTTTGAAATCTACCTCTTTGGCATATATAAGATATAAAGGTATACGTTGTTAATAAAATGATAAGCAGGAAATGATTTATAGTACAAAGATATTAGCTTCATTCCTTTAAAATGTGTTACCATTTTTCACCTGGCATACTTCAGAAGATACAATGAAGGAGACTTGTATCAGCAACAAATTTCTTTAGTGAAAGAATTTATTTGATTATTTATACAGATGTGGACTAAGCCAACAATCAAATAAAATGTAACTGCGTGCATATATATCTGAAAGTGAAAATAATTATTCAAAAACTTTAGATTCAAAACTCTTTATTTTCCTAAAATATCTAAGAAATCAAATTCTACTAAAGCTTTGGTTTTTTTGTTCCTTCTAAAATGTATACTTAATTATATATTAAGGACATGTATTTTATTGTTTCTACCTATAATAGTCACCAAATACCTAAGTGCTTACAACTATGTTAACAACTTTAAGAAAGATATAAAAATTATGGTCTGCATTCTGAGGATATTTTTAAGAAGCAATCCACAAACACACAAAAGTCCAAAGAATAAGAACAGTATAAAGCAACTAGTAAAGTATTTTGTATAATTCACATCAAAACATACACAAATACACACATACTCACACCAAGTTAAGGAAGATAATGAAATTCCTTTAATAGGCATATTTCATATAAGCAAATTGTCACAAGTTTTACATTCTAAGGTCCACATGAAAAAAATCACAGCACACACAAACTAAATGCAAAATATATCAGACAAAAACATCCTAGGAATGTTCATGCTAAACTTTTGCAATGTTTCCAAATCTCTTTTAAGGTTTGGAGAACATTTGGTACAATTCTTTATTGATGTGATTATTGATTATTATTACTTCTCACCCCAAAAATATAATTTCCTATGAATTCTGTAATGCTTTAAATTAATAGTGTTTGGCTTATATTATCAAGAAACATTTCCCCCACCACTGTAAAATGAAATTAAGCATATACTGGTTAAATAAGTCTCAAGGAGAAGAGTGGATTTTGTTGGCTTTAAAAACAATGATATGTACTTATACATTCTTAACCTTTTTCTTGGGTGCAATTTGGAAGTAACCTGTCCTTTAATTGCCTACATGGACATTGTGGTTACAATCCAAGTGAATAGCATCACATCAAAATTACCTAATACACATGTTACCACAGTTGCCCCCAACTCAAACATCTCAGGAAAACACAGCCAATAAGTCCTTCACTGTGTATAAATTCAGCACTCCTGATAAATTATAATTCTTCATTTTTCTTCATTTTTGGGACTTTCCAGTTGGTCTTTGGTTGTTTCTTCATCTTTCTTTTTCACATCTAGAAAAAAAATAATTTTTCATTCATGTAGAGAGTACATAGAAATATATTTTACATTTACATTGGAATTTGAGAGTTGGCTTTTCCTTTATCCACTCAAAATTATTTTCATCTTGATTAGGAAATATTTTTCCTTCAACCCAATTATGAATCTGTACAAAGAAGAAAGGTCTGAGTAAGTTCGGGGATCTACTTTCTCCTAATCAACTGTCTCTCCAATTCTTCAGTTATTAAGATCCAGGCAGTCTTCTGATGTGTCATTACAATCTCCATGTACAGATTAGCAAACTAAAACACCAATAGGTACAAACAGATTAAATGACTTGCTCAAAATTACAGAGATAGTAAGTGACAGAGTTGCAAGGTTCACATGGGTCAGGACCAACTGGCTCCATGGACCACACCTTTGGCCATCTACCTATGCTGGATGGCTCTCACTCTAGAGTCTTCATACTTCTTATTCCCTTACTTTCCAGTTCACAGGAAAACAAAAGCAAAGCTATCAAATAGGAGCTCCCTCAACTTGCTGCCATTAAAGTTCTAAAGCCACCTGTGATTGGGACACATTCTTTCCCTCTCTCTTCTATTACAATGGTACATGTGCTTTTTTTGAACTTGCTACATAATTTAGTGCAAAATGAAAGTGCAACAACCCTGTTTATAGATTATGAAAAATTTCAAGACAGCAGAGTAGAGTGTTAAACTCTTATGAGTCTGGGGTCCTGTGTAACTGCCCTGCAGTACCTCTTTGAAGCTAATCCTGATGCTTCTCCTACTGCCAAGGTTTAGTGCCTCCATGGTTCCTAACCCTGTCTATTTCTGTCTCATCAGGAAGCTGACTCTAATGATCATCCCTCCTCTTCCATTTCATCTGATTTTGTCTTTCTCTGGCTCCTTCACTTCCTCACGTCACTACCATTTTTCTAATTAACACAGACCCCTTATCAATTGTAATTTTTACATATACTGTTTTCTCTTGCATCTTTTGCAATGCACTGCTTTTGTTGTCTTCATTTAATTAAGTCCCAACTGCTCTCCCCCAAATTAATTCTAAGTAGTCATCAATGTCATCTTTGAAGATAAGTCTAATGAGATCTATTCAGGTCTTCAACTTTCAATCAATGAATATTTTACTAAGCACATACTATGTATGAAGCAGTACTCAGGGAACTTCTGGTGAGGGATATGGATAATAAACAACATAAATAAAATATATATTTGTGAGAAGTGCAAAGTACTAATGAAGTTATGAAGCTGAAGTAGAAAATAGGAATTGTCAACAAGTCTTGGGGCCAGGAGGCTGCAATTTTACATAAATTGTCTGGAAATATGTCACCTAGAAGAGGTCATTTTATGGCTATCAAAGAGAAGAGCATTCCAAGCAGGGAGAATAGCAAGCCCAAAGGTAGGAATGTACAAGTGGGATGGTATGGGGGTGGGGAAAGCAGAAGATAGAGTCCAAGGTATACCAAGAAACTATATTGTATAGATGAAAATGGAAGATTTACTGAACCAATTTTGAAAGTAGAGTTAACATATTTGCTGAAGGAGGATTGGATGAAGAACATGAGAGAAAGGGGTGAGACAGACAAGGATGATTCTTATATTTTTGACTTTAACAACTAGAATTTCAAAATTGCCCCTCACTGAGATGGGGAAGATGCAAGAAGAGTACATTTTGGAAAGGATATATGGAACTTGCTTTTATTCACATTATATTTGAGATTCCTATTATATATCCAGGCATTGATGACAACTAGACAGATTGGTAGAGGAGAGTGAAATACAAGGAAGCTCCAGGTTGGGGATCCAAATCTGAGTTATCAAAAGGGTGACCATAATCCCAAGGATATTGGATGATATTAGAAGTGAGGGAGCCCTGATAGAGAACATGTTCAACAACTGAGTTCTGGTACCTTCAAATCCACTGGGTGAAAGGGGAAAGGAAGACAGACAAGCTCAGAAAACTAATGCAGATACTTTAAAGTGACAGAGGCCAATAGGAGAAGGGAACCAGGAACTAGAGAAAAGATTAGTTCGAGAAGAATTAATTTAGAAGGTAACACACATGCACAGGAAAGCAATGCAAGTGAACTCCCTATATAGCTATCCTTATCTCAGCTAGCAAAAACCCTTGGTCCTTTCTATTATTGCTTATACTCTCTCTTCAACAAAATTAGAGATAAGAGCAAAACAGTTTCTGCCTGGTAGCAAGGGGGTGGGGGGGAGAGGGAGGGAGCAGGTGGGATAAAGGAGGGGATGGGGGGAAGGAGGGAGAAATGACCCAAACATTGTATGTACATATGAATAAAAGAAAAAAAAAAGACAAGCTCAGAGAGAAGCAGTCAGTGAAGAAGAAAGAAAACCATGAGAGCAGAGTTTCCTGAAAATCAAGGGAAGAAAACTATTTCATGGAAGAAGCAATGATCAATCATGACAAACCAGCAAAGAGATCATACAAATGAAGACTAAGAATGGGCCATTGATTGTAACAGAACTGATGTCATTTGTGATCTTAAAATAGCAGTGGGGTGGTGAGATGGGATGAAAATCTTCCCAGGGCTATAGAAAGAAAGAGAAAAGAAAATTCATAGGCACACACACAAAAATAAAACAGATAATCTTTCAAGGAATTTTGCTACAAAACAAAAACAGAGAAATGAAACAGTAGCTTCAAGAAGAATCAGGATCATGGAGGAGTATGAAGAAAGTCACACTTGCCTTCTGAGTAACATGGTGGTATTTCTAAAGTTTTTATGAAAGAGAGATAATAGACCTACCACAATATACCACCAGTACAATAATAATATAATAAAAAAGAAAATTCTAGAGAATATTAACTTATTCTCTAACTCAAATAAGTAAATTATTCTATAAGTGATATTCTTATTCGTAGAGAATATTAATTTCTTCTCTAAATTGTTCTAATGAGATGATGGTGCTACATGGCCCCTTAAGTAGTTCTCTTTCTAAGAAATTAACTAGAACTCATAATAATGGTTGGATGAAGACTAGCCAGATGCCATCTCTTGACAATCTTGTGTCCTGCTTAAATTTTATCAGCTAGAATATGAAATGTGGTTCCAAATAACTCTTGTAACAGTCTCATTTTTTTGGACTGAAATGTGAAAGTTAATGCTTAGAAATTCCACCACCTTATTGAAAAGTGAGTGAAGATAAATGGGGTAATAAACTACTCAAAAGGTTGCAATTGTTAACTGCATATTGTAATGCTAATGAAATGAAAACAACAAACAAAAAGTTGTTTTCTATATAAGATTATGCACTTCACAGATAGCTATTATTATAATTCTACTTTCTGTATTTGTTGAGCTATTTCAATATAATTGAATATCTTTTCAATATATTCTTCAAGATAATTTCTGAACATTCAACATCAAACATTTCAAATGCAAATAAGCTTTGTTGAACACTTATAATTATTAAGAACTTTTGGAGAAGTAAGAAAATGTAGGTTCCTAAATTATTTGGACTAATTTTATTCTTCAGGAGCCTAGCTTTGAAATTTTTTTTCTTTTATTTGTAGTTAGTTAGTAACCTATGTAGTTTTATTTAAAGGTTACTTTCAGAATTCAATGATGTATCTTTTAGGCCACATACTATTTTTTTTTTACATTTTTCTGTTCCCATCCTTGTGTTTTATTCTTCTGTTGCTTGTTTTATCCACTCCTTGTGAGATCAGGAGGTACTTTGCCTCAGAAAATTATAATCACGTAAAACACATCTTTCAAAGATAAGTGAAAAAGGGAAGGAGGTGCTGTATGTCCCATCCTTACAATGATATAGGCACAAGAGCATGGTAAAATCTCTGAAACAAAGTCTCTCTGACATCTTTATTTAAATTTATTCTGAGAAGTGTAAAGAGACAATTATATTTAAACCAGCAATTCCAAACTTATTTGACCACAGCACACTCTTTGTATGTGACACATTAATATCAAGGAGAATTTTCACAAAACTTCATTGAGAAAAATCTGCCTAAAGCTGATTGCTTTGGAGACAGAGATCCTACCATCTCATTTTGTGAGCTTGGGAAAGTTACCTGCTTGGCACTCAGTTATGGTAGTGTTTATACATCAAAGGGTGGACTTTCTGAGGTTCCTTCTCCTCCTCACATTCTGTCTTCCCATATGTACTGAAAAGATATCTTAATCCTGTGCTTTGTCTCAGGAGTAATCATTTGCACTGCTGTCTATTATATAAAATATAGTTTGCAAATATATATTCAAGTATTCAAAAATGGACATCTCTAAAGTAGCATATGGAGGAAATTTAAATCCTTACTTTTCCAGCTCTGAAAACTGCCCCTCTTCTCTATAGGCTGTCTTTTCTCGGTAGAAGGCATCACCATCCACCTAATTGTTCTAGGAGTTATCCTTCAATCTCTTCATCTCCATCTCATCCAAATCATTAGCAAGTCCTACTGATTATGCCAATAAAACAAATCTCTAACTCACCCATCATTAGCCATTCTTACTACCTATTTGAAGCCATCATCTCTCAGTGGACTAATTCAACAGTTTCCTTGAGTAAAGGTTAACAAAACCCTTTCTCCTTCTATAAGAACAAGTTTGACTTGGGGTTAATTTTCTAGCTCTGTTACCCTGGAAACCATACTAAGATATTATCACCTGTGTGTAAGCTTATGGCAAATACCACCTAAACAGTAAAATGCATCTGTATTGAGGGAAGCTAGATAGGACCTATAAATACACTTTAAAAAAAAATCACAGCATTGGTCTTCCTGTAAGCAATGATTCTTGTAACGAACATGTCTCTTGCAGGAAGGGAGTCAGGGAGCAGTCCAAGAACTTGTTAGAATCTTAACTCATATGAGATATGGCACTTTTAGAACCTATTGGCCCCATTGACCTTGTCTCTGAAATTGAGTTTTTCTCCTTAGGAGAGGTAGACACACAGAGGCTAATCTCTAGGTCTGCCATATGAATTACTACAAAGGCTCCCAGATTAGAAGACTGTGATATTTTCCTACTTGTCTGCTGAGTTTCTTGATCTGGACACCTCTGAGTAGATAGGTCCCAAATGTGTTCTTGTAAGTCTGAATGTTTAGTTTGGCCTAAAAAGATTTTTTAATGAGGTCTGCACCTCCTAATCCAACGATTTCTCTTCTCATTAGTCTCTAATCCACTTTCCATATAACAGAGTGATCATTTTAAATATAAATGAAGTGTCACTCCCTTGCTAGAAATCCTCCCACTTGAAATGAAAGTTTATTTCTTCTCACAGCCTTCTAAAATCCCACAAAATCTAGCCCTTGCTTTTCTCTCTAAAGCTATCTTCTGGCCTAAAAAGTTTTTACTCACTGTTCCTTCTGCAGAAAGTGTTCTTACCTCCCATCTTCTTGGTGCTGGGTTATTCCATCATTCAACATAGAGTTGTGATTCAGATTTCACTGGTGGTTTCTCTAATTTTTCAACCTAAAGAAATCACCCAGTATCTCTCTACTGTAGCACTCTATTTTAATTCTCCAATAGAACATATCACTGTTCATTTATATATTTATTTGTTTGTAATCTAACTCTCCTGTTGGTAAATGAGACCCAGGACAGTAGGATTTTACATCTGTCCTATTCACTACAGTACTGCTAGCCTTTAAAATGCCTAGCATTTAGCAGGGACAAAGTTGAATGCTGGATCAAATGGTAATGGTGGAGATAATGACTTTTCTAGTTCCTAGGATGCCATCTCTTGCTAATATTTACAAGATATCATCATCATCCCCCCTATTAAGTTTCTCAGACTGTAAGGTATAGATTAAGGCAGATAATGAAGTAGGCAAATCTATGTTAATTTCATGTTTGATGAAAAACATGAGCTCCTTCTACCTAAGCATGTTGATCAAAAAAAAAAAAGAAGAAGAAGAAGAAGAAAAGAAGATAGGCCTGAGGAATTCTGAAGTCCTTGAATTTATATTTTTAAGTTGCTAAAATATTGAAACCATAATATCCAGGACAGACTTCAGATTTCCATTTTCATTAGCAATTGCAAACTATTCATTAACATTTGTGCTTGGCTAATGAGAAAGAATATAGGCCTTAAAAGTATTCACTGATAGCTTTGTTAATAAAGCATTTTCTGTGCCAGCTAGATATGTAAGTCTATGACCTTTTATTTAGTTTTTAGCATTTTGTGTTGCATGTTCACTTTTTAACATTTTCAGTTTTCTAGCTGATATCTTTGACTTTATTCGAAGAAAATTATAAAAATAACAATATTCTTGCAGATACTAGACTCTCTAGTGACTGAAATAAAATTGAGATGACTACTAACTTTCCCACCACCTATTTTGTCCTCTTTTGCTTATCTAAGTAATGTCAGTAAGCATTAAAGTTTTGTGTGTGGGTTTAAGTTATCTAAACTTTCATTAGATATTTTATACTAACAAGTAATTATCTTCTCTGCTCCCCTAGTTTAGGATGGACTTTCACTAGCAACATCATGCTCTGATGCTCTGATGGTTGTATTATTTTCTCAAACTTAAAAGTCAAACATTACACATGCTTGTGTCTTCCCTAGGCCTCTTCCATATTTCCTTTCTTTTTATAATATCTTTTTGTATGTGTGTACTTGTTTACTCTCATTTGTAGTATCCATATGAGAAGCATAATGGCCTTTAGAAAAAAAAAATAAGGTAACCATGGACACCAGGCTCCAACCATGGTCTTGACCTAACAAGGATATAAATATTTCATAGATATCAAACCAGGAACATTTGAAACTTTACCAGGCAGCAAATAACCTCTTAAGCAGAGAACCAAGAGTCCGCTTCTCGTGCTCCCATGAATGGGGTAGATGTGCAGCAGCTTCTTATCTTCTCTTGGCTAACTGCCCCAGGAATAAATTTCTGCACACACCTTAGAGTGTGTGTTAGATGGGGAGGAAGTATTCTAATTATGCCTTGACACTGAGATTACCTTTAATTTCCATGAGTGTTTCTAAGTGGAGAGACACTTTTAATACTTCATTTGAAGTTTTCTTACATTTATTATCATACTAAACTCAAGAAGTTACATGAAGTATATGCAAGTAATGAAAGGAAAGACCCAAAATTTTTTTCTCTGGTTTTACAACTTTCTCTTTTTTCTTTTTTGTTTTTTGGTGGTACTGGAGGTTTGAACTTGGGACTTTGTACAAGCAAAGTAGGTGCTCTACTACTTGAGCCACACCTCCAGTCCATTTTGCTCTGGTAATTTTAGAGATGGGGGGGGTCTCATGAACTACTTGCCTGGGCTAGCCTCAAACCTCAATTCTCCCAATCTCCAATACCCAAGTAGCTAGGATTACAGGCGTGAGCCATCAGAACCTGGCTCTTTTTCTTAATTCAACTTTTGCCACTGGTTGAAGAATGATCATATTTTAGCCAAAGATTCACTTAAAGAATCTCATCCATAATTAATAGTAAACTTCTTCCTCAATAGAAGTAGGAGGGCTTGTGGAAACAGAGATTTCCAAAGTGATTGGTCAGTGGATGTCACAGGAAAGTTATTTCATTTCTGAGTACTTTTTCAATAAATCTTGTAAGTTCATTGAGGGAAGAATCATTTTTTTCTCACCATTGTGTTTCCATTAGCCCTGTCCATAACTACACACATGCAATAAAGAAATAGAATATCAGTTTCCACATACCTAATGAGGCAAAAAGATGAAAACGCTTGGTTTCAGAAAGGCTGAAAAGTCTTAGGCTTAAATAAAACCTGAGAGGTCTTAGTCAACAAGAAAAAAAGAGCACTTATAACCAGTTAATCAAGCAAAAGAGGTTGGTTAAGAAGAGAGAAGCACTGCTTATTTCAAGATTAGAAGTATTACCTTCCTTCACAGAGAGTGCCTCCAGTTTGAGTGGCAAATCAGAGGTTCCACCTGTAACAGATGAACTCTGAATGTCAGGTAAGGCGTTCCGGCGGCCTGTCCTGGCTGAAGATGCGAAGTTGTTGATCACAGATTCCACATCAGTCATGTCTGATGAGTCTGTCCTCATATCAACGTCTACGAATAGAATGTGCACATGAAGATGATAAGCCTAGTCAGTGGCTGAAAGGTGGCTCTGGATCAAAAACACAACAGGCTTGAAGGTTGGATCATTGATCACACCTTCAGAGTGTCTGTACTGGAGCTCCCATGTGCACATATGCTGATCAGAGCAGGAAGTCCTTAGTGTGAGGCATATTGCTATAAATAACCCCTGAGCCGAAAAGAGCCTCAGTGCTTGAGGGTACAGCCATCCCTTGCCTTTTGTTCTGCTTTTCTATGGATGGATCAGCCAAAGCAGGGTTTGGAAAGAAATGAAAACAGATTTGTTTGGCTACTCCCAGAGAGACTCTACCAGTGTTTGTTTGTGATACATGTTTAGGCTGAAACCCAATCACTGTAATTGTGGGGACTAAACAAAACACTGTCTTTTTCTACTCTTTAGAAATAAGATATTCAACTTTATCTCAGAGGCTTTTTTTCCCCTTTGAGAGCTGTGCATTTCAACCTGTTCTGGTCTCAGACCTAGTTTTCAATAAACTCATGTTTATATGGAGAAGAGATATGACTCATTTTACTTTTTCTTGCCTTCAAGTGGATATGGAAATGTTAGTGTTTTCCTCAGCATCTGTTATCTTCCTAACAATTGTCTCTAGGAATTTTCAAAACATCATTCACTGTCCAGGAAGGGAGGAAGCAGTTATTGCTTATTCTGAACTGATCCTCTTTGATGTGATGTTTTCTCATAAAGTTTTCCTAATATGATAATACTGGAAAGTATCTCAAAAGCTGCACCAACAATAAGAAGCATTTATTGAGAAGCTATTATGTGTTAAGTTCTCAGCTAGGCATTGAGAGTAGAGGTATGATATACTCTCCATCTTTAGGGTTTTTATGTTCTCCAAGTAGGAACAGAAGGTATGCATGCTAGGATAGATTATATCAGAATATAACATGTGCCCAGTATCAACCAAAGCATGGAGATAATGACGTGTGGCACTTAGGAAATGTGTAAACCCTCCCCTGCAAAAAACAAGCTAATTTTTTCATAGAAGTTGGAAGGGAGCTCTTCTTAAACAGTTAACTTCAATTCAGAAAATGCTAAGAACAGAGTGAAATGGTCACAAAACATGATGCATTTGGTATTAGAAATGCAACTGCTTTGGTTCAGAGCACCCACAACATGTATGTTGAGTTTAGTATGGTCCTCTGGCATCTACAGTAGTCTGAAAATGCCTAAGAAAAAGTTGCTACTGTAGATATTCTCATCTTTCCCAAGGATGGTGTGAGGTTTTCAGACACAATTTTGGAATCCATTAGACTTTGAACTGTTTGATATTTTTTGCCAACTGTCTGCCATTGACAGACAGCTTGGAATAGTGTAGGAGCACTTGACTATTATTTAAAAAGAATTTATTCCATCACAGGCTTGCAAAGTAATAGTAGTAATCCATTTAATTTATCTGAGTCACAGTTTCTCCCCTGTATAACAAATTAGCCTGTCTGATTTACAGAATTCTTCTGAAAAAATAATATGATAAAAGATATACAAACTAATTATAACTACAAAAAGCTTAATATATTAGCTAATTTGCATCACTGTTCATATCTTACTACATTTTTCTTATCTTATCACCTTCCTTTATATCCTCTTTAATCTTAACAAGAAACATGGAGACCTCTTGAGTTTTCTGATAGGGAAAACAGCATTTCTTCAATACTGAATGAACACTTCTATATCTATTATCTCACACTTCCCAATAATTCCATGAAATAATGATATGTGACTCAGATAGGTTAAGTGGGCTCAGAGGGGTTACGTGACTCAGACAGAGTTGCACAGATACTATTCTACTGCTTACAGATACAAATCCAGTTTCAATTCATCCTGAAAGCAAGGTGACATGGATTATCAAGAAATGATCTTTCCGAATCCCTGTGATATTTAGTTAGCCATACATACAGCTACATCCTTCAAGTAGATCTGTGAAGTAGGGATAATTATGTGTATATACATGTATATGTGTGGAGACACTTATTTCCTGCCTTTCATGGGCATTCTTCTCTATTTTGAATGTTTGGTCACCTTGTAAGCATAATACACCTGAATGCATAATACATAATGTCTTTTAAGATCTCTATAGCTCATAAGAGGTGCCTGGCAGCAGTTTGGACAGTGACTCCACATTCAGGACTCTACTCTCTTCTCAATTAACACTACATTGAAAGTGAGAGCCATGATTAAGTGTTTGTCTCCAAGTGCAATAGCAAACAACTATGTCAGAGATAGGGGAGGAGCTATCTGACCACTTTCCTAAAAACCAAAAACCTTAAGACTGGAAATAACAGAAAATTATTAAGATACACCATTTTGAATAAAAAGGTAAATTTCTTCAGCAAAATTGAACCAGTTAAAAGAATATTTATATCTTATATTGAAAGAGAATTTCTAATTTACTTTGATTGGTTTGTTTGCGGTACTGGGGTGTGAAGTCAGGGTTTTATTTAAAATAAATTTTTATTAGGAAATACTCATTTTATGGGAGAGGATTCATAGTGACAATTCCAATTAGATTTATATTGTACATTATTTACATTGCCCCCATCATTTCTCCCCCTGAGCCTCCACTCTACCCCACTTAAAGCAATTGCAAGAGGTTTCTTAGTTCAGTTTCACATAGGTATATAAACTCCATCTACCATATACCATCACCTTAATCTTCTTCCTTCACCTCCCCCCTCCCACTCGTACACCCCCACACACATACAATGTACCTATTTTACAGCTAAGCCAGGTTCTTGCTCTTACTAGGCAGGCACTCTACTACTTGATCCATGCTACTAGTCCTGTAGCTATGAACATGGAAGAAGAAATTCTTGACCACAAATTGGTTTCAAAATTGCTTTGCTACTGGCTGGTTGCTATTTTGGAAGTTTTTGCTTTGGTCTTTACACTATAATTTCATGCACATTCTTTCTAAATTCCTTTTATGGATTGAGGCTAGAACATAAAATCATTACAAACTATCTAAAAGTTTATCAGTAGATTCACTAATTAGCATCTTAAGGTTGAATTTTGTAATAAGGATTAAAGTGTTCACCTGGAAAATTTTTGAGTGAACAGATACTCCAGCACAGAAAGACTAAAAATAGTATTTTGACAATTTAAACGAACAATAGCATATCTTTAAGTTAAAGTCCTTCCCTCCACCAAATAGCCATCTTACTTGTCTGTTACACATTTTCTATACATTGTGTATGGTTTGATTTTTTTAAAGGGATGATATATAGAGACAATCACTCTCTTCAAATGCTTTGTGACATTTAAAAATATAATCTATAGAAAGATGAGCAAACACTACTAAGAAAAATGAGAGATTGATTAACTTCCAGGCTCTTTTATTTTTCTAGTCCTACAAAGATAATTTTGTGCATGTTTGCTCAGCAAGGCAGCTGACTCACTAGCATCTCTTCCTCTTGCTTCTTTACAGAATCAGCAGAGGAGTCTGAATGAGTTCTGCTTTGTCAACTGTGGCTTGTTTACAGGAGCTGAAGCCATTTGGACATTTTGAGATTTCACAGAAGTCCTTGCATCCCCTCACTAAAGTGATGTCATTTGAATTACCTATGACAAGTCTCCACTAAAAATACTGGGTTTTTAAGATGCCTTTGAAAAAGATGACTCCACAGTCATATACACTTACAGCAACCTCTTTGTGGTCTCTGAAATATGAAAATACAACACAAACACAATTGAAGAGGTCATGATGTTCAGGCTAAATGGAGAATTGTATATATACAATATGCACACACATACATGTAATCAGCAGTCGGAGCTCTTGGGCTTAAGAGATTGCTAAGAAAATAGTACATTAGTGTGTTGAGAGCATAATTATAAACAAATAGAAGCTTTTACAACTTCTTTCCCTCCCAACTGAGACAATACAATCTCTTAGCTCCTATACACTCTTTCCTCAAATTTCTTTACTTGAAGCCAAAACTACAAGGAGTTGGATACCTTCTTTTTTAGATCATCTCCAGATCCATATCACTCACTCCATCTCTCACAGTGAAACCACTACTTATTCTGTAAATAAGACTTCAAATACACCCCTTAGTTCTATAGAAGGTATGGCCCAAACTATCTGAAAAAAAAAATAGTAAAAAAAGAATAGTAAATGTTTATAGACAAGTCAGTGCTTTTCTTAGCCAAAGACAGAAAGAGACACAGAAGGACAGACACTACTCTCAGCTAATAACTATGGGTTAGGAACTGAGCTCAGTGGAAGGGTTTCATATCCTTACATGTGTGAGGCCCTGGGTACAATCCTCAGCACCCAAAAATAAAACAAAGAAAACCAAATGCTTTATCTATGGCTCTACAGCCCTCAATATCTTAATACTTTATGCTAGATTTAGTTCTCTGCTTGTAGATTCGAATGATTTTCTGTTTTAGAATAGACCTCTTCCAAACAAGGTGAAAGAACTAGAAACATTGCCTCTTTTCTGCTAGCAAAAATTATTTATCAATCTAATCAACACTAGGGAAACTGCTACTAAATTATAAATACAAGGCACTGTGGTTAGCCCACAGGCTACAAAGAGGAACCCCCAGTTTGGTGAGATGAGACAGTGTTTCTTCTTACTAGTTATATTGCTTGACCTCAAATTTTAGTCATTGAAAACAAAGTAAAATATCCACTCTAAAATGTAATTTTTAGCACGTCTCCTCTTCACCTAAGTATCAAGGCCATTTTAGGCTAAACAGATATTATAAGAAATGTATACGTGTATGAAACTATTTTTAATTTAGAGATCTGCTTCTTTATAATTTCTCCACATGTGGCATTTCCATACTTCTGGAATAAGCCAAAGGAAATTCTGCCTTTGCTTTTGATACACATTTTCTTGATCTTAGGTTTGTGCTTGATAATAACATAGTCTCAGTATGCATTGAAGTTATCTTAACATTGATAATTTTTGACCCCTGAAGCATACATAATTCAATATGAAGTCAA